CATTCTTTTATATTGCGAAATTCCACAACAATCATCCATCATTGCATAACTATTGCAGACTCCTTGCAATGCTTAATCCTCACATCTCATACAGCACCTTCAAACAGTCTTTCTAACCCCTTTTCAACTCCATCAAAGGTTTTTTTTTTCCCTCAATTAAGGTGATTAGTTTGAGGGTGTTATTGAGCCTTTTTTTGCAGAAATCTACTGTAATTGGCTAGCAAGAGTGCTGTGGTCGTCGGTAATCACTGTCGCATTTGACACGATACAGTGTGCAAATCACTAGGTTAGTCGGGGGCGCCTTGAGTCGCCAAATCTGGAATGTGTGTACTGGAAATTGGCTTACTAACAATGGTTATAGCGACCTCGGATCGCATGTGCACGCCCTTTCATCCGCAGTTAAGGGAAGGGTCCACTTGTCACTCTAGTAGCAGAGGAGTTAAACAAACCGCGAGGTGCAAACCTTAGAAAGGCAAACCGGTCTACAAATTCACATTTGTTGGAGGTATTAAGGCACCACAAAGGGAGCAGGAGGCAATGGTGGTGCCAAAAGCCCTCCTTCTCCTCCTCCTCCTCTCTCCCACCACGTCAGGCGGGTCTCAACTCAGCACCTTCGCTTAGCCGCCACCTCTGTTGTTTCGTAGAGCCTGACTGCTAAAGCTGATGTGTTAAAAAGAAATTAGTGAGTAAGCAAAGCGTGTTTTGTCAGTGTCTCTAATCCCAATTTGTTCGCAAATAATGCCTTTTCTTACCTCTAGTCGGATAACGTGAAATTTTTTTGGTTTTTTCTTTTTTAAAAGATTTTTCAACTCATTCAATTCACAATCTCCATTGCTGCGCTCGCCTACTTGCAAGCGCTGATGACTTACTACAACCGAAAGATGCAGCGACGTGAACGACTACGTCAACGGTTGGTGCAGCACTTTGGAGACAGCAGTGACAATCACATCGAGGAGGAGGATGAGGAAGAAGCGGAGGAGGAGGAGGAGGAGGAGGAAGAAGAAGAAGAAGAAGAAGACGGATCCAATGAAAGCACAGAAACAAGTCCAAAAGGCCCACCGGATTATGCCACCACAACACTCCAAATGGAGGGTAGTAAAGCGGAGGTATTTCATGACGGTGTTCCTACTGCAGCTCCAGAAAGCGGTGAGTGTTGGATTGCAAAAAGATTAATCGTTCCACTGATTAAACTGTCGACAAGAGAATGTGTTTCTAACCCACCAACACGATTGTCAACATTTAAGAAAACCAAACTTCACACATAACATTTCTATTGATAATTTTCAAATTTTAGAGCGACATGCAGACCTTCTGCCAATGCTAATACAGGAGTCTGACCCTTTGCCATGACCTTAATTTTAGATTTGGGGTCTTCTGTGAACGGTCCACTACCTCTCATTCATGAACAAATGCCAAAGGACGATTCACATCCCAACAGCACACGAAATTCGGCGATTTACACCGTTCTGCCAGCTAAAACCATAGTTAAACAGGTAAATAATGGTTTTTAATGCTTTTATGCTCACCTAAATTATCACTGCAAGCAGTAAAAATTGCCTCTTGACATTTTATCAAAGATCACAGCTAAGGCGTGCGCAGTGTGTCCCTTCGACCTAAGCCAAATTGCATCAATTGGAATTGAGCACTTTGTTACAGCTACTCCTCGCAACATTGGGCCAAGAAAATCCAAGTGTTTCATTTTCCCAATAGACCCTTCTTTCCATTTATGTCAAAGCGTAAAAATTGGAGTGTGTATAAACATTCCAAGCAAAGTTGCAATTTTAACAATTCCATGAGTAATACCTACTTAAATGCTAATAAGTAGAATGATCGATCATGACTAGCGCTAGCGCCTTTTAGAGTATATAATCATTTCGTACTGTTAACGATCGAACAAGTAAGCAACACTAACACGAACTGCATCATTACGCATTGCCTTGCATTGCTTTAGAAGTCCGGTGACTCAGGTGACCCTCAGGCCCAACGGAGGCACGTGCAGGGAGTGCCAGAGGGCAAACCTTTGGCTAAAAGGAGAGTGACTAATATAGGGAGAATGTTTGGAGACACCTTTGGCATAATTAGCAAGACGAACCCACCCTACACACAGGATTCGGAGGGCATTAACCTCTATCTGCGCTTGGGTACTGTCGGTAGGTTTGCGTCTTCTAGTTCAACACCATTTACGCATTCGCGTAACGCGCATACGAATATAGAAAATACTGTCAATTAGACGATTAAAAAAGAACACTATCTCTATGGTTTCAAAACTTCTTAATGCTCACTAGAAGTTCGGAAAGAACTCCTGATGATTAATCGAAATGGCTGTCAGGTAACGAAAGGCTTAGATTAGGTTTCAGAAACGCCTTTACAGTCGGCAGTTAGATTACCATCCCGCCACCCACATAGTTCTTGCTGATTGATAATGTGATCCTTCTTTTTTAATGAAGTGAGCTAAAATTTGACTTACTTGATTCAGTGTTTGGATTCGGTGTCATAATCATGGACGGATTTCGTGTTGCTGACCAATTTCGTGCAGTAAACAGTGAAAGAAGCTGTCACAGTATCCTCTGGACACCTCTAAATGCCGTTCACGCCATCTACATTTTCTGGCAGACATACTTCCTCTTTAAGTACCACAGAGTAAGTTTAGCTACCCATTCTACTTGGATTGCTACTTAAATAGTTATCTGCCTTTTCAGTAGGCAAAACCTTAGATTGCACAAGTGTAAAGTGTTGCATTGAGTATTTACAGTTAAGAAATCTTACTCAATGCTCCTGTAGCCTTTGAAAAGCTTTTGGATAACAATTAGATTTCATGTCGCATTGGTTGAACTGTCTCAGTGTCACCACGGCACGAGCGCTCATTGGAGAGACAATACCAAACAGTCTTAAGCGAATCCCGCTCGTTCACCAAGAATTGCTAATAGATTGTAGCATAGGCAGCAAGGCTTTCATATCATATTTGTTGCCAAATCTGGCCGTGGTAACCACTGGTTTCAATCAC